AGGTACCAATACACAATAAGTCTAATAATTCAAATACCTAGTAACAATAATGTACCAAAATATTGCGCCTTCAAAGACAATTTAAAACGTTCGAAGTTTAATTTATGTTTATAACGGTAGGGTTATTGTTAAATAAATTTCAAGATAATTATACCTACCTCGGCTAGGGTTGCGAGTGCAAGCGTAATAATTTACCGCAGCCCTGGCCCGGGGAAGGAGAAGGAACCAGTTGGTTTTCAGCCAGTTAGGGTCTGACACGCCCTCTCATTGTCATGTTAAGTAATTCTATAAGTAGGAATATTATCGTCTATATTAGAAAGAACTTCTGTCGGTTGTAGATTTCACACAATAATGGAACTTATTAACAGCAAAATATATTGAATTATATCACCCGTATTGTCTGTTCGTATGTGTTCCAAAAAAAGAAGAACAATTTGATTACTAATTGGAGGTAGTATTATTGCGATGAAAGTGGAAAATGGAATATTTTTTTCAGTTTGTAATCTGTCCTTGTTATCCAGTGTGGGAAAAAACATTTTTTTTCGGTTTTGTAGTAATAATCTTTTACAAAATTTTCTTTTCGGTACAAAATAAAACCCGCACACTTTGTCCTTCAGTGAGGCTCGCAATATTAGATTGGTATTTAACCGACTTCAAAAGGAGGAGGTTCTCAATTCGACGCGTATTTTTTTTATGTATGTACACCGATTACTCGAAGACGCCTCGACCGATTTGCAAAATTCTTTTTTTATTTGATAGGGTAACTTGCCATTTGGTCCCGTTGTCATGAGGTCAGGATCTGATGATGGAATCCTGGAGAAATCGAGGGGAACTTTCAAAAATTGTAGGGGAAAGTAGTTCTTTTGTGTGATGTTTAAGTAGGTATTTTGAAACACTACATCTTGACGAAGGTCGAAGTCGACCTGATGTTGGAGCTGGAAGACAGTCGAGTCGTATTTGGGCTTGAATGATTTGTATTGGCGAGCACTTTGCACCAGGCTTGGTCGTAACTGTCATTAAGGGTCTGATGATGAGAACGAAGGACACCTCAGGGAACTCCTGAACGGTTTACAGTAACTACTTCATGTTTGAACTTAATTCATGTATTTTGATGAAATCTTTGTACCTGTATAGATTATAACTACTGAAAGTCTGCAGTTTACCTGATGATGGAGACCATTGACAGTCGAGAGAACCCCTTAACGATTCATAGCAGCTACCTTGTGTTTGAGCTTGATTCATTCGTTTTGATAAGAACTTTATTTACACTTAGGTGGATTGTGACTGTCATTAGGGATCTGATGATGAAGGCGAAGGACAGTCTAGGGAAGACTGAACTGGTGTTTGGTTTTAATTTATTTATATTGATAAGAACTTTCCCTCTCCTAGAGAGGAGTGTGTCTCCTGTGTCCCAGTAGTGGGAACATTAAAAAGGCATTTATATTTAAAAGGTTACTGTAGTTTACAGAAGAACTTAAAACATACACTAAAATGTAAAAAAAAAAAAACTACGTTTAAAAAAACTTCAAAAACAAAAAAAGTGTCAAATACCTAATTACAATAGATAATTTAGGTATAAAATATGTCCTGTCTGCAAATATAACGTGAATACTTACTAGGTAGGAATACTCTGTTTGACATATGAACATAGCTACACTGCCGTGTTTAACTCGTTCTGTCGAAGTTGGAAGTCAAAATTATTGAAAATTAATCACACACACACACACACACCCACACAGTACCTAAATCATAACGCGGAAACGGAATGTTTTGACAAATTATGACAATTTATTAGATTGAGAAATTCAGGAATTTTTCCCTTTGTTTTTGTGACATTGAATGATGGGAATGGAATGGAATTTTATGCAAATGGAAGTCGTTTAGGAAAAGTTTAATAAATAATGAGATAAGCCGCATAATGAGTTTTAAAGGTGCATTTCAATTTTGGTTGATTACTTACCTACCTTTTATTTAAGGACTTTAACCGTTAGATATTTTTTCAAACGCAAATTAGTGTTCTGGGGCTTGAATTATGTAGATATAAACTTTGACGACTAAAGAATAAGGAGAAATACTTATAGATTAATAGAAATAGATTGTTAGAATCGAAATGCTTAGGTAGGTACTTATTAGGTTTTTGATTGGCATAAGGCAGAAATTAGGAGTATTAGGTACCTGAAGGTAAGCAATCGGCGTCGCCCATGGACACCCACAGCAACGGTTGCGATCTAAGTGCGTTGCCAGCGTTTTGGGGGTTTCAATTTGAGAATTTGGGGATTATGGGGTTTGCTAATGCAGGAGAAGAGATTGGGCTTCCGGAAAATCAAAGTCAAAATCAAATAATTTCAATACCTTACTACACGGCATTGTTTCATGTCTGTTAAGTGTGGGAGAGCCAAGCTTCGGCGAGCCAAGGTCGGCTCGACCGGAGTGATACCACGTTGTGTTTCGCCGTGTGAGTGAGGTTATCGGAGGCCCAATCCCTCCCCTTCCCCTATCCCTTCCCAATCCTTATATCCGCAACCCCCATCCCCAAAAGGCCGGCAACGCACTCGTAACTCCTTTGGTGTTGCGGGTGTCCATGGGCGGCGCCGATTGCTTACCATCAGGTAATCCGTCTGCTCGTTTGCCGACTTATACCATTAAAAAAAAAATGCCGTTCTCTGAAAGGCCGTGACAATATTTCGACCAAGCTGGCCTATTCGTGCTGAAACATGCCTGTTCTATACTTAGAATTCGATTGCGCAAAAAAAGGAAAAATTAAAAATGCATCTTTGACCTTCAATATCTCGAGAAACCGTGGAGTCCCAGCTATGGTCTTAAAGAAAAAAAATGATCCAAATAATGGGTAGAATACGTGGCTTTCGGCTTCGTTAAGTGTCTTTTTACACGTGCCTGTATAACTAGCTTCCGCCCGTGGCTTAGGCTAGCCTATGTGATAATCCCACAAACTTCAGCGTATATTATAATATACTCTCGCGTAGTTTCATTCGCTGCTCAGCTCCATTTAATCGCAGCGTGATGTTTTATAGCCTATAGCAATCGGGAACATTGTAGATATCTATCAGTGAAAGAATTTTGGTAATCCGACCAGCGCTTTCAAAGATTACCCCCTACCTACATACAAACTTACAAACTTTACCTCTTTAAGTATAATATTAGTATGGATATAAATAAATGAATAATTTTCTGCTTCCTCTTTTTTGTGTTGACTGCACAGGCGTAGCCATAAAAAGCGGCTGATACTAGCCAGGTAGTTACATAATACAACTTTTCCTTACAACTACATATTTCATGTCGCACATAAATTATTGTTGGAAAACATAAATTTCTTGGAAACAAAAAACTGATTACCTATACACGCGTAGTTTTTTACGTAAGTAGGTAAAACACGACGAAACTTTATGAAATCTATATCAAAAGTACGTTAAACTACCGTTGTGGTGGATCCATCCGACTATTATAATGTATGTCATGCGTCGGTTTTACCTGGGATTTTTCTATTTTTGAATTAGATACTCTGCTCTTATTGGCTATTGGCTGTAGTATGTTATTCCATTATAGCCTTGCTCAAAAAATGGAGTATTCAACACAAAAAGAATAATTCTAATAATTCCTTTTGTAGTTTTGTAGTTATTACGTAGTTTAAATTTAGTTAAACTTTAGTTTTATGATATTAGTTTAGATTACGAAAATTATTGTTTTTTAGTGACGGATATGTTGATTCCTGGACATTTCTCGTAAAATTTTGATATTAACAGCCTGTTCATCAGAAAAATGTGACCCCAAAGACTGATAGGGAAATACCTTACCATGTTTAAAAATGTAGTTTTATCGATCAAAATGTTTTTTTATGCAGTAAGAGGCAAACAATTGGACTGATAGTTTAATTATAGTTTTATATGTTACTAGCAGCCCGCCCCCGCTTCGCACGGGTCCAACTACCTCGCTATCAAAGAGTCACTTTTTCCCAATTTTCCCTTCTTCTCCTTTACTTTTCTAATATTTTCTTTGATAAGAACCATCTCCTGACAATAACAAACATAACAAAAAAAAGAATTAGGAAAATTGGTCCTGTCGTTATTGAGTTATGCGCTTACCAACACATTTTGCGATCCATTTTTATATATAAGACTAGCGGTCCGCCCCCGCTTCGCACGGGTCCAACTATCTCGCTATCAAAGGGTCACTTTTTCCTAATCTTCCCCTCTACTTTTTGAATATTAGGTATTTTTTACATTATGAAGCTTTTCAAGGAGAATCTAACGACCTAGAACTTTGGCAAAAAATGCAGTTCCAAAAAGAAACGTGCAAAAACGTTGATTTTATCTATTCTACTTACATGCTTAGAAACTAAAGTTAGTTGCTAACTAACTTCGTAATTAAGCATTGTATCAGCTCGGTAATCGGCAGTAGTCGGTGCCTCGTACCAACTATTTGAACTGGGTTAGCACGTTACACGGGAATGAAGCATATCAAGACTTAATGGTTTCGAGGAATTTGTGGTACCTATGCTACACGTTCTATGAAAATAGTTCGACTTTGATAATGCGCTGAAAGAAAATTGCTACCATACGTTAGAAAATTAGATTGGTTAAATATTGTTTAAATCTCTAGCATTCTAGATCAATCTCTGCTTTTGATAGAAACTCTTAACAACTTATGTCAAAAATCTAAGTCAATTCACAGATTTCATATCGAGATGGGTTTAAATTATTAACCCACCTCTTGTGTGTGAAGATCGATTTTTGAGTCTTCGGCCGTAATTCGCCATCATCCATCTGTCTACTTAATAACAATTTCAAAAACAAATAAATTATGTTGTGCGAACCGGGCTATTTGACGAAACATGTTCACATTCACATAATTAACATTTTAAAAAGGGCAAATTTTAAACAAAAGATTTTACTAAAATGAACATAATTCATATACATATGTAACGTTTGATCATAATTGAATCGAAACTGATTTTGATAAACTGCTTGTATATCCAACAGAGAATGACATCAGACGGTAAACAGATCAGCATGGCGGCTAGTGCCATAGCTCTTCGTGGGGTCCGCTTATTCCTGACAGCTGGACGGCACGCAGCAGACCGTTCACAGAACCAGGTAGCACCACCAGCTCCGAGGCCCAAACCGAAGAGCAAGAAGCCTGTAGTCAGTGGGAAGCCACCGCAGAAGGTCTTCGAAATGCTCATCAAAACCACCAGGTTTACCAAGTCAGTTCTAGTGAAGCTATTATATTCTCATGTCTTGTGTTTTTTATTCTATTGTTGAGGCGAGCTGTGGTTTTGAATTGAATGACGTGTTGGGCCAAGTAATGGACGAGACTTCTTGTAATATAGTTTTCTAATTAGACACGAAAGTATTATTTCTTTAATTTAATACGGGTAACATATCACGGAGTAAGTACTATTATTATATAGTATATTATTTTCTGAAGCAGCAGGTTCCCATTTTACTTTACCCACCTATTCAATGTTGTTTATTGTACGACATAAATATTTTATCGTTTATCATCGTTTATAGGAGTTTTCAAACGCATTCCTTGAAGAAAGAAAACGATTTCAAAGGATGCCCATAAAACGTCGAGTCACACATTACAAACCGCCTTAGAAATGCATCGTAAACATGAAAAGGGCAAAATCCTGAGGGGCACCAAAAGCAGACCTAATAAAGCGAGCTGAGTTCGTCTAATAACACCACGCGTTCAACCCTAAATTAACCCATTGAATTTGTGACCGATAAAACATCGAAGGTTACTATTGGTTTTGTCCCTAAATCGCTCGTAGCCGTAGCTCGTTGCTCGTAGTAGCATCACAGTTCAGTAGGCGGTTTCAGGCGCCCCGAGGAGGTCGCCTTGTAAACACAAAATATTACGGTCCCGACTATGAAACGCGTACAATGACGCCCAATAAGAAACTCAAAGAAAAACATCTTGATGCGTTGTATAAACAAACTCATTTTACCAAGTGAGTGCAGCGGTTTTAGTGTTAAAATTCGATATTTGAATTTTCTATTTTAAATGGCATATTTTCTTTGTGGACAAATAAAAGTTTTTTAGTTAGGATTTGTTGTGATTTTTACGTGGAAATGCGGTAGCTGTTTTGATAGAGTTTCATATTGGCGACTTGTTAAAGTTCTGAAACTTATAAATTAGATTATTTGTTGCCAACTTGAAAATACGGCACCTAAACATTTTATAATAATTTCCTGTAATTATTGAGTAGAAAACTTTTTGTTGGCAAAAATTTTGTTAGTTACATAAGTTTTTGAAAAAGCCAGTAACGTGTAGTTTAGTGAGAATTTATTTAGAGAGATTTGTTAAAACTGTTTTCAGGAAATAATCCTTCAGCTGTATAATTAATACACAGTTTTACGTATGCAGGAAAATACACAACATAATGACAGAAGTTCGTGTTTAAGTAAACATAAATACACATTTTTGTCTCCGAACTTTTTTGTAATCGCAGTATTTGCCAAAACACTATGTTACGCGTACAAGGACTGCGTGATACCGATCTGCCTAGTTTACGACGGAACTCTTTTACTTTCATATTTAATCGTAAAACGGACAAATTATTGTGTTCACAATGAGACTGATAGGCATAGACATGTTTTTTACGAGCCTTTTTTTTACTTTTTCTTGTATGCCTATCGTTTTTTGTTGTTTATTATTTAGGTAGGCTTTTTGCCACGGTCTGTTCTGATGTTTTATCTTGTCGCGCGATTTAAATGTTCAACCTTTTTATGTCCAGATAGTATCATACTTTTATTTATTGCCTATTATTAAGCAGCGTGGAGGTACGTGAATCTATTAATTGTGCAGTACCTATTGTACAAAAATGTCTTACTAAATGTATAAGAATCGATAGTGCAGTTGGTCAAAACCACCTTTTTTAATGAATTCACATTATCTACTCGAACGATTTTGTATGTATTTTCTAATAGCAAATTTTATTTCGACAATCTGCCTTGAGCAAGTGCTTATAACTTTTCTGTGTGAGAAAAACCAATGCTCAGTAGGTACGGTAGTGGAGCCTACTATTGATACAAAACTACTTAAATATGCAAATAGTTTTTTTTTTTATTTCGAAAACGTGCTCTCTGTAACAGAAGCAAAAACTGTTGGAGATAAACACACTGATTGCCTTTCTGTTTACAGGGCTGAAATAGAAGCTCTATACACGATGTACCGCCGGCTGGTGATAGCTGCTCAGGCGGCGGCCCCAGCCTCCGCTATCGGTCATCCACCCAAGATAGATGTAAGTACAAATAAATAAATAAAAGCCTTTATTGTTGATTTTAGTTTACATCAAAAACTTTGTCGGAAGTACAAATACCTAAGTTTAAAAAGAGCTGACTGGCTTTTCTTCCTACGGACATCGACATTGATATTTTCCCTATTCTTCATTTGTTTTACTACATTTACATTTAACGACGTCGCCGCGTCCGCGCACACTGCTCATGAGGAAGAACCCCTCTGTGGTTCGAAACTAGTAGAGCTTTTCTCAATTTATACACGGGAGTAACCCGCGATTTTTAGTTAATTTAGTATGTCTCACGATAGTTATTATAAAAACACATTTACATTTGTTTTCTTTTAATTTTCGAATGTAATTAATTAATATGTCACCAAGAAAACGTGTTCGTGGTAGTTTATGTAATTAAGGAAACCTGGAAGCCGGTTGCGCAAGTGACAGTTTGATGTTATAAAAAAGTTTACCATAGGCAACATGAATGACAAGAAATCAAAAGATAAACATAAATAACCTATAGAAATTCTACAGTTTTAGCGCCTGTCTTAACCTTGACAATTTAATAACTCATTTAAAACATAGGTGATTCATTCAAATAACGTGCTATTCTTAAATTCATTTGGTACATTGTGAAATATTACTTTAATAATCAAAAGAACGGACCTCGGATGAAAGAGACTGACCTCTGATTTTGTTTCGGCATTTCTTCTCAGAGTAGTCAGATAGGAAATGTCGGCTTCATCTAGTTTTTTTTTACATTTAGACGTGTAAAAGTGTATTCACTGTTTCATTGGACAAATATCTCCATCGATCCATTATTAGATTCGGTTCCTTTACGTGTTCAATTTTGCAATACCTAAATATGTGTGTTAAAAGATACTACTTATTCCAATTTTATATATATTTTCTTCGGCAGATACCAGATTTAGCTTTTTCTTTAATCAAGCATTTTTCGCGTATAATAATGCATGTCTCTCTAAACGCTTTTTTGAAAACATCGTGAGGAAACCTGGACTTATAATATTAAATTTGAAATCGCCAATCCACCTTGAGCAAGCAATGTTCAACTCTTCTCCGTGTTAGAAAAGACCTTTGCTCAGCAATGGGCACTTATGGGCTGACGATGTGTTATGTGAAAGTCATTTATGATAGTGTACTTGATTAATTAAAGCATAAGGCAGCTACTAAGGACATACCATGATCACGACCACTCTGACCAGATTGTACGATTGCAGCGAACTTGATAAATTAACTTTTTAAATATAAAGTACGAGTACAACAATTTTTATTAAAATTGATTCAGCAGTTTTCATGATATTTGACTTGTATGTATGGGTTAAATTTAATTTAAACCAAAATATTATTTAGTTTTACATTCTATGAAAAATATCAAAATGTCACACATAGGTAACTAGTTCAACTTGATAATATTCCATACGGAACCCTGATAAAGATTGTGGGGTTTACAGGAGACCATGACACTTATCGGCAATAACATCACAGTTATGCAGTCGGGTATATCTATCTTCGAAGCAAGTCTCGCGTTGCGTGCGTTCATATAGCTAGGGGCCGGAATTAGGCCACACAGTGTATCCTTCCTATGAACTTGTAATGGGGTCATCTATGTAAAAATATTGAATGTATAGAATATTTTGTGACATATGTTATGTATGTACACAGTTATGTATGTATGTATTCAAATTCTTAAAAGCTTTTAAAGATATAATGTACTTTCTCTCTCCTAATCCCTAATTCTCCAAAATATCGGCATAGAACGCAGCACCTTTATTATTCCGGGTGTCCACAGGATTTCGCCCCTGATTGCTGACCATCAGGTAATCCATCTCCTCGTTTGGCGTCCTATCACATAATAAAAGATATTGCAAACATAACATAGGTATTCCTTGATACGTAGGAAGAATCTGTTTTTTTAAATAAGTGGATTGGAATGAAATTTATATACAGTAATAATAGTAAGGTAATAACGAACCTACATCATTATAATAGAATGTAATTTGCAGGTTTCAATTAATCCAATTTCTATCAGATTATATTATTATGTACGAGCGTCGAATCAATACCGTATCTAATTTTATTTACAGAAAGCTTTCCTTACCTACACAGTACACCATAATTATGGGGCAGGATATTGTCATATTTAATTTCCCCCGCAACAAGGAAATGAAAATGGCATTTCTGACAAATTACCAGCGCATTTTACTTAATTAAAGTCGTTTCAATTTTAAAATGACGTTGACTACTATTATGGTGGCATGATAAGGGAAATACGGAAGCAATTTTTGATAGTTATATATTGGATTATATCAAATTAATTTGCAGTTTATGTAGGTATAGGTATTACATGTTAAAGAATAGCCAAAATCATTCATTAGGTACTTTGTCACGGAATGCAAAGAAACCATGTAACTTGGCCCATGAACTTTCACGTTCTTGCATGTTGTTAAAAATATATATAGGTATATAAAAAAACAGTTTTAACCACTGAGCTAGATCTCAGATTGACTGCACGATTAGCGCGGTGCGAGCAACGTGGCGCGGGTTTGATTCTCGCACGGAACAACTCTTTGTGTGATCCACGAATTGTTGTTCCGGGTCATGGTGTGATGCGTTGTATATTTGTAAACATAACCAAGACACAGGAGAAAATTCTAATCTAGGGCAACGTTCGGGCACGCTGTTATAACAGCGGTAAGATCCATCTTTGAGGAGTATCTTGAGAGACGCCATGGCGTTCCTACCTTCTGCCTGACGCAAGTGGTTACCTGGCGCTGTCTTTATGTTCTTGTTTTATTTATTCAGTAGACCTCGTCGCCCGACCAGAACCAGACCCGAGCGTACGGCGCGTTGCGTTCCGCACGCGCCTCAACGAGCCAATTGATCACCACATACGGTTCCCTAAAGCCGTTTAATGATTTTCCCCCACAAAAACTGCAACGTATTTTTTTAAAAGTAGAAAACTAAAGTCTTAGTCCAGCATTAAAGTCGTCATTCAAAATCTGCAGGGTATAGACCAGAGCACCTTCCGTGATGTGATGCACAATACTTTCGACCTGGTCACTGAAGAAGCCATCTTGGAGCGTATGTGGATGACCTGGGAGAGGGGTGCGGCAGGTGGAGAAGGGTCCTTAAAATTCGAGTCCTGGGTCAAAGGGCTAAGCGTGTTACTCAAAGGAAACATGGAAGAACGAATCGGATATTGCTTCAAAGTCTATGATTTAAATAATGACGGATTTATCACTAGGGAAGAGATGTTTTTGCTGTTGAGGTAAGAAATATAATTTGATGTTCTTTGCAAAACGCTAGTGAAAAAATTAGATGAAAATAGATTCAGGACACTGGTCATAGTCCTCATTAACGAGGAACACGACAGCGACACAAAGAGGATGATAGGTTATTAGATAAGTTTCCCTCTTAGTTTTGTTCGACACCGTACCCTTGCTTTCCACTAACGAACCGCTTGATGTGCCTGCACCATCCTATGGTTGACTGTAACAGAATGCCTTAACGTATTAAGTCCGCCGTTAAGTCTGTTTTGTGTGAAGAAGGTATAAATAAATAAGAGTACAGCCTGGTAATAGCAGAAAAAAAAACTTCTTTAATCGTGGGTTTTTTTATTTATTACCCACGATTGTTGAGATATGAATGTTGGCTGAAAAGATGATACAAAGTCTACGAAAGCGGTGAAAAGCCAGATGTTCAAGTTTATTAATATTTCCAGGAACGCCTTGCTAAAACAGCCAGGCGATGAAGACCCCGATGAAGGAGTACGAGAGCTTGTTGAATTGGTACTTAAGAAATTAGATGTAGATAAAGATGGAACGGTTTCTTTAGATGATTACAGGTCTGTATGCTAATATTATAAATGCGAAAGTTACGATGTTTGGATGTTTGTTACTCAATCACGTCAAAACGACAGAACGGATCTGGGTGAAATTTGGATACACTCCGGAATAGGACATAGACTACTTTTTATTAACATACCACGCGGGAAAAGTCGCTGGCGTAAACTAGTAGGTATCTAGGTTATAATAACAAAAATACAAAAATGCAATTATTGAATTAAATTCCGTAGGTATAAAAGAGTTTCATTATATGAGTATTTAGCAGGTAATAAAAACTAAAAAACAACTTAGTATACATTTTTGGCTCGACCGGAGTGATACCACGGCCTCAAAGAAAACCGGCGTGAAACAATCATTTATTCCAACTAAACCACAAATAGGAACTTTTGAAGAATAGTAGTCTATCAGTCTGTTCGTCAGTGAAGCTAGGTTGTTTTATTATAATATGTATATGTATACATTAATATATATTATATAATTATTTTGGAATTAGCAGTTTACAGAAGATAAGCAATAATATCAATGATTACAATTTAAAACTCTCAACCTTAACCTTTATACTGGCTAGCCGAATGACGATGTATGTTTTTCTTTCAGAGAAGCCGTAGAGCAGGAGCCGCTTCTTCTAGAAGCATTCGGACAATGTCTACCCACAAAGAGACATACAACTACATTCCTCAAAACTCTTACTACTAAGACTTAAACCATGTTTGTTGTAGCCTGTAAGATTAGTTTAAGTAAAGTTATTGAATAAGTGTCTTTAAAAATCTAAGTATCTTTAAAAATAAATAGAAATGATCACTAGTTTGTTACCTGGTCATATTTTGACAAAAAAGTGCATTGGAAACTGTATTACCATATTTTTGTTATATTTTCTACCCATATTACTGTTGTACAACCCAAGGCGATTTCTAGATATTTTGTGAGCTGCGTGCTTAGTAACAATAAAAGAAAAATAAGAATCAAAGGTTTTATAAAAAATTAAAATGTATTTATTTATGATTATTAAAATGTACATATAGATATTATTTTGGAACATTTTCCCACAAAACCAGTTTAGCGCTTTGGTTGTGGGGGGCTTGTTGGCATTGTTTTAAATGCAGGTTTGTATTGTGTACCACTACCTAACGCCGCCTTTATGTAAATATCCAGGGTATCACTCATCTGCACCGCAGCTTCGTCCTTAAGCAAGGCAGGAGCAGCAGGAGTTTCTTGCTCGTTCTTCTCCATCGGAATCTACACTTTGGAACGAGCAAATAGCTTCACTAAGAGGACTGACCGACAGACTGACACTATATCTTCAAAAATTTGTTTGACGTTCAAAATTGCCTGTAAGGGTCTAATTGGTATAAATGATTTTTGACTTTGACTTTTGACTTTGACTTTGCAAGAGAAGGAAGGGGTGGGGCGGTTTAGTCAGTATGGGTCTGACACTCCCTCTCGCCTTACCCTGGGCGGGAGAAGTCATTCAGTCATCTTTACAACAGTCATTTTTACAACCATTCACATTATTGGTAGAAGAGTAGGAAGCATAACTAACTGCTTAAATAAAAAAAGCAAATCTTGGAAATACGATAGGAAAGAGGAAAGGAAGAAAAAAACAATTACTTATAAAGAATTTATTGATCTTTATAGACAAAAATACATTTAAATTCTGATTATAGACTACATGAGGAACCACATTTTTAATAACATTTTCTATTTAAACCAACAATTTCTTTTTATTTATGTACAAAATTAGTAATGTCACGCGTTAATGTTTTTATTTACAAAAGTTTCTTTCAAATCAATTATCGTGGGGGTCCAGACCGGTGCCGATGAAGTCAGTCAGGATCCTACCAGCCGATGGCGATAATAGGTTGAAGATCTGCAAAGATAAAGAAAAAAAGTTAATGAAGTTCAAAGGATAAGTAAGAAAAACTCTCAGTCCCATTTCATGGATAGTTAACTCAGTCTTTAACATTTTTTTCGGAACATAATTGATATTAAATATTGTTTTTTTTTGATGGGAAAAATCATAAAATTACTTGTAACGACCTAAGTAGAGCGAGGAGTACCATACTCTTCCTAAAAACCACCCCGTTCCGTTTTCTGTTGCAGGCCAAGGTCACGGTACATTATAGCGGTTACAACTACAACATCAAAACTAAAGAATAGTTAAGTTTTCATTGAAATATCTTTGAGTAGATACGCCAGAAAGATACGAAAGATTAAATGTGAGTGAGCCAAGCTTTGGCACGAATGGGTCGGCTCGACCGAAGTGATTCCACGGCCTCACAAAAAACCAGCGTGTAACAACCACACCGTTGTGTTTCGCCGTGTGAGTGAGGTTACTGCATGACCAATCCCGTCTCCTCCCCTATCCCTTCCCTATCCTTCAATATCCGAAACCCTTATCCCTCAAAGGCCGGCAATGCAGTTGTGACTTCTTTGGTGTTGCTAGGGGTCCATAGGCGGCCCTGATTGCTTACCATCGAGTAACCCATCATGTAAAATCTATATATAGTTTTGACCTTTACGCATTTTTTTCTAGAATGACATCTAATTAAAATATTAAATCTAGACTTGTCTCACCGTAGGTAGGGCCATTAAATACGGTTTATTGAGGAAATAGAAGTTCAAGGTGTTGGTATAGCAATATTACTATTATTCGACTATGTAATGTAAGAAAGACATAATAAACATTATTAATAAGGTCCATTAAAAATAAAAAAAACAAAAAGTCGGCCTTTTAGGGATAACAGTTACAGATATTTAAGGTTTGGGAAAGGGTGGGGGGGAGGGATTGGGCCTCCGTCAACCTTACTCACACGGCGAAACACAACGCTGTGGTTGACATAGTGGTCAGTATAGATAAGGGCGTCATTTAACCCTCCTGTTGTACTGACGAAAACTCCAAACTAGATCGATTATGAAGAAACGATAGAACTAAATGACGTGCTAATTAATAACGAAAACCTAAAGTAGGTATATCCATTCTGTGCACGTCTCCTAGATAATGATGACATTCGCAGCCTTGGCCTATAAACAGGAGAAAGATCGAGGGAAGTTTTAGTTATTTAAGAGTCTGACACTCCCACCCACCCAGGGCTGGAGAAGCCATTTGATGATTTTTCCCTTACAAAAAAGCTGATAATGTCATTGCCTTACCTTATTTGAGTAGTACATGTCACTAGGTATGGTAATTTCGTGGTATTCTCTTAGAACGGCGTCCACAATCTGGTCAGCAGCGTCTCCTGGGTCCACGGTCTTCATGACGGCCTCGAAACGGATGCGAGGGTTATGGCAAAGACCAGTGTTCACGATGTATGGGCAAATAGTCGTGAATTTGATCTGGAAGGAATTAATGGAATATGATTAGTCATTAATTGCACATAGATTTTTTTATTGTGTTGAAATTATATAAAGAATTAATAGAGGATAAGAAACGGAACTTTTTATTATTTTTTATATCAGGTCGGCAAACGAGCAGTCGTATTACCGGATGGATACTCCTTATACCAAATGAGCTAGGTATTACAAGTGCGTTTGTCGGCCTCTTGTGGGTTATTACAGATTTAAGGATAAGAGATTAGAGGATTGAGAATTGGGGGGGGGGGGAATTAATTGCATTCTAAGTATTTGTTATTTAAGTTAAAATGATACATATATATTATACTGATCTATTTATGTATTTGATCACCACGAAAACCTCATAATTATATTTGGAATAGAGAATACATACCCCATTTGTATTTCTAGGATCCTCGTGAAGTTCCACGGCGAGTGATTCCATGATACCTCTGACGGCGTATTTACTGCCACAGTAAGGCACGAGGTTACGCAGACCCATTTTGCCGGCCATAGAGGACATGGCGACGATGTGGCCAGAGTTGCGGTCCAACATGGCTGGTAGGAAAGCTTGGATCATCTGGAAAAGATATCAGTTCATTAGGCCTTGGTATTAATATTCTTAAAAATGCCAAGAGCAAAACTAAAGGCAAATCAAAACATTACAATTTCTTTCGAAGAAAATCACATTTATAAATGAACTTTAATATAAGTAATTTAAGAACCATTTTGGTAATTAAAATCCAGCATGACCGAGTTAAGTACCAATTTTGCATTCATAAAGGTTAAGCACTGACAATATAGAGTAAGGTTCTTTTTGTTAAAACCTTCACTGTTTAACATTTAAATACTTGGAAATCATTTATGCACCTATATTCTACAATCAGTGCACTTTTTGGAGCGTATGGTCGTTTTGAATTTTAAATACTTCGTTACAATCTTAAGATTGCTATGGATATTGAACCACTCTTAGCGATTGGTAACTTTACAGAAACACAAATGACAATATTTTAAGTACATGGCGTTATATCGGCAACTAATTCCGGACCTAGTTAAGACTTATTTTCGGCTTTACAGACAGAAAGAGAGATTTTTAGAGGAAAAAGGAATACACTAATAGAGTATGGCGTTCATTGCCGATCAAGATCAATAATAACAAGTGACCCAATTCGAAGCAGAAGTTGAAACTGTTTCTCATTTCTCTTTCCTATTAAAAAATCTCAACTTTTGGCAAATAATGGTATCTTGTTACTATGTGACGTTAAACACTTTTTAGTCAGTAACAGTCTGTCATTTCTTCTTGGCTTACAAATGACGGGAGGAGTCTTTTGATGAAGATGTAAGTAAGTAATGGTTGATATTCCAATTACAAAGAGAAGCGAACTCTAGATGTATAATACATCTTGTGATGTTCCTCACTCCTCAAGAAATGCTAGCACCATTTAGCTAATTTTCAAATGTCAACGAGTTTTGTAGCTTTAAGGAAATTATCATTTCATTCTGGACGAAATAATATAGAACCTATACACCAGTTAGCTGAGTTTGACAACAATCGGAATGCTTTGAAAGAACATGTCCAACTAGTAGTTAAACTTGAAAAACTTGATTGCCAACAACAATTATTGCGTTACGTTAGGCTTGTTTAGTTAAATAAAATAAATGCTGAACCATACTCCATTGCTAACAAGTTATTAAAGTCATTAAGTTTTTTGGCTAACGTATATCTATGTTGATGTTGTTTTTATAAACAAATCTTGTTACTATTGGATTAAATGGTGGGAATGATAATAATATGAGCTAAAGAATAAATAGATAATGTTGAATAAAAATGTAATTGCTTTTATAAAATCAGGTGAAGGGCCGGTAGGCCAAGCGAAATAGGTATTTAACGCTACCAAGAGTTGCCCGCGTTTGCCGTAAAGCGACCCGTGCGCTAACGTCGCGGGGAGTGTCACATCACAGATAAGCAGGCAGTAGGTCAACTTGTCTGACGCCCACTTGCACAAACCCGAGTTATTCTTACAACTCAAAAATAAAAGATTTAATTAATTAAAAACTCGTTTTTTAACCGACTTCAAAAAAAGCAGGAGGTATACTATGTTCGGCTGATTGTTTTTTTTTTGTATGTTCACCGATTACTCCGCCATTTATGAACCGATTTCCAAAATTCTTGTTTTGTTTGAAAGGTTATACTCCCGAGAGGGTCCCATTTTCATGAAATCAGGATCTGATGATGAAATCCTAGGGAAACCGAGGGGAACTTTCGAAAATTGTAGGGACGACTAGTGCTTTTGCATGTTTTTTTAGTAGGCTTTTTACAAAGCTACAATTTGCCGATGGTCGAAATCGACCTGATGATGGAGCCGGAAGACAGTCGAGGGATCTGCTTTATTATTTGCAGTAGTTACCTTGTGTTTGGGCTTGAATGATTCGTATTGGTGAGCACTTTGCACCAAGATTGATCGCGACTGTCATTAGGGGTCTAATGATGAGAACGAAGGGCACAGCTCAGGGAACGGTTCACAGTAACTACCTCGTGTTTGGACTTAATTCATTTATAACGATGCAAACTTCGCCCCTATAGATGGAAACCATAGACAGTCGAGGGAATCCCTCAACGATTTACAGCTAAACTAACTAAACACTGACTAACTCAGGACTACTTCGTGATTTTCGGTCACAAGTAGCAGTCGTCTTCTCATTCGAAAACCATTATAAAAAAATAATTTAAAGCAAAAAATAAATTTTCTTTGTGGAAATTAATACATGTTTTCATTTAGTATAATAGAAAATAATATTAATAACCGTTTTACGAACGCGGCGATGTCGCGCAGCCTACGCACGCTGCTCATGAGGAAGAACCCCTCTGTGATTCGAAACTAGTAGAGCTTTTCTCAATATTTACACGTGAGTAACCCGCGATTTTTAGTTAATTTAGTATGTCTCACGATTGTTATTATAAAAATAACCATTTTATAATCTTGAAGTCGGTGCCAAGTAAATCATCAAAGTCATACCAAAACAACAACAGTTTTAGAAAAATATATTGATCGGTAACTCCTATTCATCAAACTAACAATGGTATAGGTATTCTTGATGTGTGTTATAGGTAATCTTTACACTATTTTTCTTTTACTTGGCACCGACTTCAAGATTATAAAATGGTTATTAATATTATTTTCTATTGTACTAAATAAAAACATGTATTAATTTCCACAAAGAAAATTTATTTTTTGCTTTTTAGTTTACTTTTTGAAGTCGGAATATTTTTGTTAACAATTATTTATTATCAATTGTTTTTGTACAAGAAATACGAAAAACAAAAAATCTACTCGGTATTTAAATGGAATGTATTTAAATCATTCAAAACTCTTATAGTTTTTTATACAACAACCATAATAATAAATGTGTCTAAATTATTATTCATGTACTACATTAAACATCTTAAAATTCTTCAAAAGGTATTTGTCTTGAACAATTGTGTCTTCCAGAAATTATCGTCCCTTTCGATACGTTCTGTAAGCATGGGTTCATTTTCTCCACCCTAGATGCCGAGCAGAAAATCGTCTTTCAGTAACGTGAAGCTCCTTGTCCTTGTATTTGATAAAACAATTTGATTTTTTATTTACTGTGGACGTGCAAGTATTTTTGTCGTATTTTAAAATTTTAGCTTGTTATGCTGTACTGCACTGGTAGAACCTTTTTTAATTTCAATGAGCGTATCATCGCCTACTAATCCGTCAGGAGTGCCTCTAATAAATGGATAAGTCCTGTCTATGAACAAACTGCAAGGCAAAATACTTATATTTTCCTGTTTTTCAAGCTGTTGACGTGCTTGCATTTCGTGCTCTATTCCGTGTGCAACAGCAGTTACACATGTCAAATATAATTTTGTATACCTAATATGTTTTTTACCAAAAGAGCAGTATGCTATATGCTAATTTTTCTTTTACAAATTTGCCCAAAATTTGATTCGGTGATTAGGTTTTTCCGTATTTCCAACCATTCACTGCTATCTCGTTACAAAACTGTAGCCCTTTCGATAGCCTGGCTATCAGAAGTAAGCATTCTTAAATTATTTAAGAACTCTACTTCAGCTTTTTTCAGTTCGTGTGGAGACATATTTGGTGCTCTGCTCGCTAATGTCATGTTGCTTTTGATTGCCGTCTTTTAATTTCCGTACTTTTTTTTACGGGATGCCCGAAGTTTAGGTTTCGTTCTGAGCTCTCCGTCTTTCAATGATTTTGGCCCTGCCTTTAGGACTTTTGTTTAAAAAAGCTGTTTGGACGGCTGAAAGCCCCGATTGGCTGTTAAACTAAAGAACAGGTGCTGAACACCTTCCTTGATAACCTCCTTTTAATGAAATTATTCGTTTTCCACAAATGAATTTAACGATGACACTATTAAAACAGTCAACAAGTTTGTGTCAACGTCTTCGATTAGGCTGCGTGATTTTGCAGCAAAACTTGAAACAATCGCGTTTATTCAGACAATGAAAGTGGAATTCTGGGTCTTTTTAAGTTCTTCGTTGTCATTTCTATCTTTATTGCAATAATATTCTTAGCACATTCTATGGTCGCTAAAAGCATGAGCTACACAGACGATAATATCCGTATGAAGATTAGATATTGCTACATTGCGAGGACCTTCAGAGGTTTTGTGAAGTCTAATTCATTGTACTATCGATTTCCGCATAGTCAAAATTTTGACATTATTAAGCATTTTACGATGCACTTAAACATACTTTGTGTCTGTAATCAGATTACGTAGTTTTTTACAGAAGTTTGTAGTTCTGATATTTTTGTGCAGTGGCTTACCATTAGACAGGCAGGATACCGAACGAAAAGACAAAATATGAATTAAATTTAATTATGCAAAATTCTAGCGATCATCGGTACTAAAATATTTATAAACTATACTAGAATAATCATAAATTTTGCATTTACCAATCAGAGGCTAAATAAAATAAAATTTAATTTTGCGAACAAATTACATTGCAATACAAATAAAATGTTTACGTAAATTAGTACTTCTTTACATATCTTTAGAGTGCATTCTTTCTGTGTCTTTTATCACTTTGCGCGACTTTTTTCGCCTGCGTTTTTTATTACCCATTATGATTTATAAATGCAAAGCAATAAATTCTCAAAAAGAGATGATTTGGTGCGTTTAGTTGTCGCTGAAGAAACTGACACAGGTCCGTCGTCGACAAGCGCCAGCACGCGACTAATCGGACATATCTGAGCCGCCGCGACCGCTTTTAAAACTTAATGGAACATAGTAATTAAGAAAATCATTTTATCAATTTTAACTCTGCGAATTTGTCTGTAACTAATAATTTTCTTTATTATAGTACAAAAATTAAACGTAAATAATCAGTAATATAGTCGTAATATTGAAAAAACGTTTTAAAAAGGGGTAACTTTGCGATTTTTTTCTATCGCGTGAAGTTTATCAGGTCTTGCAACTGAATGCGATTTTGACTAGATAAGATCCTCAACTAAAACATATATTTTTTTTGTAATTTAAAAAACTGTAGTTTTTGTCTCAGATTGTTTTAAAAAACGTAAATTTGGGCAAAATATTAGAGGGAGTCTCCGGTTTGAGCAGTGGATTTGTTGAGTGTTTTTGATTTATTGAGTGATTTGACCTTCATCGCACACTAGGACTTTTTCTTGTGTCGTAAGTGAGTTTACAAACAAACAAATTCACTCTAGCCACCTAGACCAGAAACAACGATTTGTGGATCACACAAAGTGTTGTTCCGTGAGGGGAAGTTTCAGCCACTGCGCCAACTACGCAGTTAAATGAACTCATTATTATGGTGACAGTTTTTATTTTATTTCGGATGATGCGTTAGAATACTTAGAATAGAAGGAGCTGAGACACATTTTAATTGTCTAATCACTAAATAGACACATTTCTGTTAGATTAAAACTACAATTTATTGACTTACCCATAGGTTTCCATTGACGTTGATTTCCATGGTGGCTCTGATTTCTTTTTCAGTCTGTTTGAGCACGGGCTTGCAGGGCATAATGCCAGCATTGTTCACGAGGATGTCAACTTGTCCAACGTCTTTTTCTACTTTCTCAGCCAGCTGCATAACAGCTGATCTGTCTGTGACGTCACATCTGCAATACAAGCGTAAATGTACTATATTAATTATCTAATATTACAAATGTATTAATTTACTTGTTATTACTCTCTTTATTGAGACTAAGGTTTTCCAAAGTTTTTATATGTATTAAAATACTCAGCTTTTCCCACCGACAAACTGTATAAAAATATTTATTTTGAATAAAACAATAAAGGATAAAAAATATTAAAAATTCAAGTTAAAACTTTAAATAATATATTAAATTTTTTACAGGTTACCTAATTTATCTTTATAAAATTTGTGTCAAAGTCAAAGCATGTTTTTCAAAGAATGATTATTTAAAAATCGTCATTTCCAATTCAACTATTAAATTTATTAGTTCTTGGTCAACTAGTAAGGATATCCTTGAAATAGAGCATATCTTCCAAAGCCAAATTTGAAGTCGTTCTCCTACATTTTCAATTAATTTAATAACGGTCGATTCAAGATTTTGTCTTCAAGTAAGGTAAGTTAAATTAAAGAAAGAACTTTTAATAAAAAATAAAAACATTTTGAACTGGAGATACAACAAATGTGAAGGTCAACTTATGGAGAAAATGGTGAAAAATACTCAGACCAATAATTAATTTATTTTATATATCTTAGGAAGTATGAGAAAACTAGTAATATGTATTATAAACAAATTATTTTAACCGATATAAGTAGTTTGCTATCAAATATCTAGATTTATGACGATTTATGATCTTGAGATTTCAAAATACTTATGCAAATATTTGGTAAAAAAAATAAGATTAATTGCCACATGGTCATTTGTCTATATTTCGCAATCAATATTTATCTTTGATTTGCCTCTGACTATTTTTGCGCATGACATTGTATTTGTAAAACAAGTTTTTTTTAAATAATTTCTTATAAAAAACAACAAACTTTGTACCTTGTAGGTTGTAGGACCTCCAAACTTTATTAACATTAATTTTATATAGTTTTCTGTTACGTTATAATTGTGTTAATTAAGTTCTTAAGACCCTTAAGTTGAATTTACAGGTTATGTTTACAATTTCTTGTTAGAAAAGAAAAGCTTGGTATGAGCAAAATTGTTTGAAAGTAACTAGTTATGATCGTAAGAAGAGAAAGAACAGGATTTATAAAGATATAAAAACGCTATTAGGTTCCTAATCATAATTTAAAAAGCCATAAACGCACTTGCAACTCTTCTGGTGCAGTTACATGGGAAGCGTGGATAGCTTACCTTCAGGTACCTGAGGACTCGTTTATGCCTACCCTAAAGGTCTACCTCAATGCAATAAACAAACGATAAAAGCACGACAAGCCGCGTCTCCATAGTCGAAGCATAACCTATAGATTTACTTACATGTAAGCATAGGCTTCTCCCTTGTTCTTTTTGATCAAGGAGATGGTCTCCTCATTTCCTTTGGAGTTGATGTCCACGCACACCACCTTGGCACCAAGTTTGCCGAATCTAGTGGCGATCTCGCGGCCCATTCCATGGCCAGCACCAGTCACCTGAAGAAAGAAGATTGAAATCAGTATGTAGGTACTGAAAAAAGTCGAAGTTGTTGAGGATAACTTAATACCATTGAACTCTTAACTGTTATATTATTTTAGTGTACCTGATTATTAAGGTTTTATAATTACTATTTGAGGTCTACTTGGGACAAAAAGCAACTTCCTATCGTACCATTAGAAGAATGAATCAAAATAATTTAAGAAGGGACAGAAAATAGCAATGAAGTACTTTCAGTCAGATTTATGTACCTAATTTTACGGTAGGTAAGTGTTATAGATTCCACGAAAATATAAAAATATAACTCGATAATATTTTTAGTACCTATTACCAATCAAATCCGCGGGGATAAGAGTTCCAGTCATACAAAAACAGAAGTGGTTTTTGTACATACAACATAAGAGACTATTACGTAAACGTGTTGTTTTATTTTCATTTTTTTAACTTATTTTCTTTACAAAAATGAACGTCTTTCGTGTTATTTATCTATCTTTTAATCTAGAATTAACACGCTGACAGTGCAAAAACTTTATAATTACAACATCTTTGTAAAATAATTACTTATTGTCCGTAAAGTGGATTCAAAGTCCGCGTGCATGAGCCGGTGATAAGATAGGATAGCCGAACCTAATCAATATGGCTACTGCCTTACTTGTTATTTTTATTATTGACGTGAATACATTCCCACTCGGAACAAATCTTTTTGTGATCCACAAATTGTTGTTCCGGGTCTGGGTGACGTATATGTGAAAACGTATTTTTGTAAACGCACTCACGTCACAGGAGAAAAACCTAGTGTGGGGAAACGTTTTATAATAAAAAAAGTAAGATTAAATACAGGCATTATTGTTATTTGTGCTCATAGCAATTATACAGAATAATTTGGGACAGGTCCACTATAATCTGCCAGTACAGCTACTGTGGGCTTTGCCCTGGCAGGGGGGCCTTAGCTTAGAGGGCTCCACAGGGATTAGGCCGGTTAAACAGTAAAAAGCCGTGGAGTACTGAATTACGAGTGGTCCTATCCAAAATAAAACCAGTGAGCTAGTAAAGACTAAGTATCCGACTAGTAAGACGTTCCAAGCACATGAACCCGTAATATATTAAATCTGAAGTTTTGTTCACATAAGACGCGAGTCTATGATTGCTAACTACACATCGGGTTTAAGCTCCATCCATAGCTAGAACAGTGTTCTTTCCTTAGTCAAATTATACAAATAATATTTTACAACAAATTTACTGGTAGCCAAGTATCCAATTTAGAAATATACCTAGGTAATCCTATTAACACAATACGTATATCCTAAACTTCTGGTGACATTTGTAAACACTCAAGAACGCCATAGATACAACAGTGAACTGGTTTGAAGGTTATTTTCTAAGATAACCTTTGGTAAGCGACAATTAAAAATGACGAGAAGTATCTTAAATTGTCGTTACACTTACAAATAAGTTGCTTAGACAACAGAGCAAAGTCATTACAGTTAAGTTTGTATTACCGGGGCTGTATGCAATTACTTAATACATAGATGACATTGACATATTTTCATTTTCTAATAATTAAAATTATATAATCCTTTTTACCGAACACAAACAGCTTTACATTCGAATAGAAAAAATTAAATCATCCCGAATGTAACGCTAGCGTACGTTTTGGTTCCGCCCGCCGTACACGATCGGAAATTTCAAATCGGTTCTCGCGAGTCATGTACCCAATGGAAATCTAATGGTCTAAGTATCACTTGTACTAGATGTATAATATTCCGTATACGGAATTGACCGTTTGCGGCTAGCCTAAAATCCGCTTTACTATAGATATTTTAGGTAGATAGAAAGAATGCAAGTATATTTTATTTGTAAGAACATAGTACATTAAGATGTAACAATTAGATGTAGTTTTATATTATAGAAGCATATCTGGTTTAAAAACTCTAAATCTAAAAGGTTTATGTAATTTATTTACTAGACGTCTTTTTTTACATTTAAGTACTTACCTACCTATTTTATCGTGTGAACTTATTCACTTTTGATTGCTTCTCTTCGCTTTGGTTTTACATTACATACATTAATGTTTGTTACATATCCCTAAATTATTTATAAAAATAATACACTTAGGTATATTATTGTCATAAAGGTAAAATGAGATACCTAATGAGAACATTGCTTTGTTTCTTTTAAACGTGGGAAATAAAAGAAGTTTCAAAGAATACTCGCATATATAATTGCCATTTGAATGTCCGGTGACGTTATAATAAATAAAAGGCAACTTGTAAAACTAACAACAATAAAACTGCACTTAATTAAATAAGTATTCAAGCAAATTAATTTAAATATATGTAAATATAATTATGAGAGTATTCCTTTTACTATTGATTTCAAGCTGCTTATGAATTTGAAGACCGGTGTGACTAGAAACTAGTTGAGCTTTCCTTGATTTATTTGTTGCGGTTTAAAAAAACAAATATTCAATTGAATGTAAATGTAACGGACTATATAACGAAATAATTATTGTACTACTAACTTCATCATTCGCTTATTACCTATTTACAATATAAATTCATATTGTCACTATAGCTATACATATGCAGTGTATTTAGTTTATGAGTGTTATATAGGGTGAATTTCAATTAAATAATTAAGCATATTCTACGATAAATATTATTTAGAAAAAAAAATATTGAGTACTATTATCAATTATTTCAGTTATGAAAATAAAAGTGCCTTACACCCAACCCACTTGGGTTGGTACTTACCTACGCAAAATGAAAAAACCTTAACACGATCGGTTTTAAAACAGCAAAAAAGTTATTTAAAATAAAAATAAAATGTAATAACAACTTCTAGACATAATGGTAATCGTTACAGGTAGGTACATGCGTCAAACCGTATGTATCTTTGTAAGTAAATAAAAAAAACGATCTATAAAGGGATTATGTCAACTTCATAAAATTATTTTTGCCGTTTATTTTTTGCTGTTCTCAATATTTTGTCTTTTTATTTCGAAATCTATACACAGTGGTACAAGACACTGTTTTGGATAAAATATTATATATGCAGAGCATTGAAATATTTGCTATAAAAATGGTGTTATGCATAATTTGGCATTATAAATTATTTTGGCAAATCGATGATCTCGTTCTCAACGATAAACGAACTAATGCAAAGTACGTTTCATCAACATTATCACCATAATCATCAACCAACTGCTGAGCAAAGGCCTCATCTCACCCTGAGAAGGCCTGAACATTAGATACCTAATCGCCATGCTTGCGCATGCCAAGGGTTCCAAAGCTTTTTGTACTAAAAAAAAAAACGTTGTATTTACTAGATTCGACCGTGTGCGGTGCGTTTAAAACATTTAAAATTTGCATTCACACCTCTCCAAGAAACTGAACACTTTGTTAAGTGAAGATGTCAATAAACTTTTATTTACCTCTCTATTTGTTTAATATTAGCTTTTCGGTTTTAACAGATAGTCTCCGACTAGATAGAACATTAGTCTAATATTATAAAATATGCCAAGGTAATTAAGATTTATTTCGTTGCACTATAATTATATTATGCAATTAATTTAAAACAGTGAAAGGCATTTTGTGCATATGATACTTTTTAAATCTAACTTAGATACAGATCGACTTTTTTTATTTGTAAGCTTTTGTTCCCAATTTTCAGTATAACAAAAACAGGCTACTTAACAATTATAATCTAATAATGACCGCGAAAAATGTTATTTTAATTACAATTTTAGTTACGCAAATGGAATATTATCACAGATTAATTTTAGTATCAATTGTTTATCTGGACTAATAACATTTCATAATCGTAATAATTAAATCATGTATATGATAATAATAGATCACAAAGCGCAGCGTGATTGTCAATGTCCAATTTATTTAATAATACATAAGGTAAAATATTGTAGCTTATATATTCTTGTATTCAAATTTGGTAAGTCTTATTCAAGTTCGAATAATTAATAACTAAATAGATTTCTCAATGCAAAGAAAAATTAGAGAGTAATCAGGAATTACCTAATTAATTTTAAATCTTTATATTCTATCATTATTTAATGGACGCAAAAAGTATTAAAATCTTTTTTTTATCTAAGGTGTGTTATTTAAATTAAATAATTTTATCTGTAACAATTAGGGTCAATCCTTTTTAATTTTAAGACATCTGCCATAGAAATAAACAAGTAGAAGTGTGACATTAAAATTTACTCACCAATACAATATCTCCCTTCACATCTTTACGATCCTGTGGCACCACAACTCTGAACAAAGCCTTTACGATCTCCAAGTTCAGTCGTAAAAGCACCCATATTACTTCAAATATTATCCTTAACACGTAAATAACTTGTGGTTCTTCAGCCCTGAAAATTTTCATTTTCTATTAAGACACAGTTCACAACTAAAATAAATGTAACCGATATTATTTAAATATCGAATTGATTCCAAAATGGCACACGGCCAGCCTCAACGAGATCTCAAAAAGAATACAGAATTTGTTTAATTCAATAATTAAATGTGGTTAAAGTCGCGTTCAGACTGGTCGAGTAGTCAAGTGGTCTGTATATGTATGAATATGTATATGTATCATATAAATGTATAAACTTATTATAAGTTAGAAAAAAGAGAACATTATTCATTAAAATATTTTTTTAATAACTAAATACAACACAATGTTCTGAATGAACTCATTTATAAATATATCAAAATTTTCCTCTTATTGGCGATGTGAAAATATTACATTAAAAATAATGTTGAATTACATTATTAATTAAATTATACAGGTGGTAATTAGGTTCATAATATACTTTATGTTAAATAAAGTGTATCTAAGCGATGATTAACACATATGTATAGTTAGGTCCATACATAAAAAAATATTTTAAAATAATAACCTTCAAGTGCCAAAATTTACCGCAAGGCCAACATTATCTGTACTTATATTTTCCTACATAAAATAATTAAAAATATACCTAGTTTTGGTTGGGGCATTTGATATAATAACCTGATGTTTATTAATAGACTGATATTGTGCATACCCCAATAAATGATTCTACACAGTGTTTAAGTTATTTACTGTCATATAAGTTTGTTTAATTTACTTATGTCACCTGCCAATCTCATCTCTCAATCACCTGAAGTTCGACTGTTACACAATGCCTAAAGTATTTATAAGTGCGATTTTAAGTCTTATCGGGTTATAGATCTTAATAAAAAAATAATGAACAACAAATTGTATGCTATCGTATCGTTTACCTATATGTAAAACTTTGTACCATATTTCCAGATAGCAACCAATTTACTTAAAGTTTGGAATTACATTTATAGACTATCTACTAAATAAGGAGTGGTATGTGTGAACTGTTAATTAGTATGAGAACATCATGATGTGAAGTAGTTGTGTGCAAATTGTGCAATATTTGCAGTATAGGTTGTCTATTCATTTGTTTAAAATTTAGAAGATGAAATTTATTTTAATCACATTAATAAGTACGAAGAAGGTTAGGGTAAAATGAGGCGAAAAAATCGAGCTGTAAATAGTTATAGGTACTAGAACAATTTGCGCAAAAGCATTCTACTGACTTAACATGTTAATTTTTTTAGGGGTTAATCGTCTTATCTCGAATTCACTTTCTTGGCCAGGGTGAGCAAAGAGGGAGGGTCAAACTCTGGACTGACTAAAAACACGCTTTTTACGCTTGCCCCGCAACCCCGTCTGAACAACAGGCCTGAAGGGCCCCTGTCTATGGTGGTCTGTTGGTTCTTTGAGGCCTATTTACCAAACTAGCCCTATCCACCTATTGTTACGGTAACCACACATTTTTAGTAGAAGTAACCACTAAATGATAGATAAAATTTGGTTGAAATGCCCTTAACGTTAATTTATTATTATTATTGAAAAAGCGTTACTGCCATTGTGTAAACAAGTCCTTACTTTTATACTTGCTGGGTGAATGACGTAAAAAAACCTTGATATTCAAAAATAAAAAAAAATATTAAATTAGCCGTAACAAGTTTTGCGCGCCCCTGTCATTTATGCTAATAAATCCAAATCATAATCATCTGTAGGTTGGTACTTATATATATTATAAAGTTGTGTTGTAGACTTTATTTGAGCGCGGTATTCTCTGGAAAAAACTAATGTTTGTGCTGGATAGTTCATTTATCGAAGATGGCTATAGGATATATCAAGATACGACCTACTAAGAGCCTTTTATAATGGGACCATCCCGCCACAACCACCTATGGGTGGTTATGACCTGTGCAACTCAAACAAATAAAACAACAGTAAAAACCACTGAAGTCCGGTGCGTCCCATCAAATATCCCACAACGAAATGAATTAGAAGATATTAATATGGTAAAGAAAAAACCAAATAGATTCTATGCCTTCTGGTGAGTTTAATGCAGTAGACAGAATGATTTGAGCCTTATTGAGACGAATCTCATCAAAATTACTAATTCTCTTACCCATATTAGGGCAAAGGGAGTATCACACTTGCTAATTAAAAACATTCCCCTTCCTAGTATTTCTCCGGGCGCCGGGCACCGGTCCATTATTGCACTTGCACTTACAAACCTGGATGACTTGAGCCTTAAAGGCACAAAAGATACTGTACAGTTGCGAGCGAAACTAAAGCGAAGGCTATTAAAATCACGCTAAGATATATTAGAGACTATGATATGACTATTATGTTGTTTTCTGTTTGTTTGCAAACATGTTAAGTATATCTGGTTTTAACTGAACGCCCGTTTAATCATAATTGTGATTCAAATAATAATTCTTTTATAGGTACCTATATTCTTATCTATCCTATATTCTTGTATAGTACAGAGAACATATGATGAACTCATTTTTTATAAATTAAACTTATCTAATTCTTATTATTATATATAAATTAAATATAAAAATATGCTTTTGTGTATAGTTACTAATACACATGGCTATTACAATATTATTTTAGTATTTTAGCGGCGATTTTAGATTGATAATCCTACGTCGCCTATTAAGCCATTATCAATGTTTTTACATTACTGGATTAAAGTTTATTTGGTAATTGCTTCCTCCCGTGACTCCTGTGTTGCTTGGTATATTAATAAAAAACAGCCTATATTATGTTAATTCAGGGTATCACCTATCTACGTGCCAAATTTTTATCAAATGGGTCCTGTCGTTTTTTGTGTGAAAGAGTTACAAACATAGATCTATTATTCTCACAAACTTTGACAATTATAATATAAGTAGGATAGGATCACTATTGAATATTGGCCCCAACATACGACGACCCTGATGTTTTATTTAGATACATTAAGCTTCAAAAATAATAATACCTAAACGCCATTTTTATTTTCTTTAAACAGGTTTTACAAGGTAGATACCTATACTTTTAGAGATTTTTTTGGAATTATACATATGTTGAAAACATTTTAATGTTGTACCGCTTAGCCAAATCACGTGAAGATTTATCTCCTTCAAAAATTATTTGCAAGATCCTACTATTTCACAAAGAACTACATTCATTTTAAATTTAAAACAAACTTAAGAAAGCAGTGGACTGCAAGATATTTAGAATTATTACCATTTTTTTTTAAGATTGGATAATATGACTACCAAAGAATAAATGAATTAAGATTAAGTAGTCATTCGTGAATGATTTATCAAAGTAGGTGAAGGATAATAGACAAAGCCTAGTCGAACTGGAAGACTTTTATTAAGTATTTAGCTCGGACTTTTGGTCAAATTACTAGTTAACTTTCCTACCTTTAAAAACATTCAGATACGTAAATATATGTAAGAACTACTTTCGCGCGGTTTCTGCTCCTGCTCGGCTCCTACAGATCGTAATCGTAACGTGAAACAAAGAATTGTTCAATTCTAACCAGTAGTTCCGGCAATTAGCGCGTTCAAACAAACGAACTCTTCGACTTTATATTAGTATAAATAATAATAAGTCCAAAAGAAACTATTACCACAATTAAAGATAGATCAGATTTATGATCAAGTTAGAGCCCAACTACAAATAACACCGATAAGACAACAGCACTTAACAACGACCCAAGTAACTAATATACAACCTGGACAACGCATGAAATGGACAAATGAATACAATGAAACAATAATGAAAATTTATTATAAAATCACTTTCTTGGAAACTAATAAAACAGCATATAGGAAATCTTTACATGAACAGTTCATAAATATTCACCCAGAGTTATCCCATATCACAGAGCAAAGGCTGTCTGATCAAGTTAGAGCAATTACAAACAATAAATATATTACTGTCAAAAGGTTAGCAGAAATAAAAAAACAAGTTTCTGAACAATTAATACACGAAACAAATACAAATCATCACTTAAATAGACATTCAAATATCCCGGAATATCCTGATGGAAGTAATCAAGCACACTCATTCATATCTGACACACTCACTCACACAAATGACATCTCGCATGATGTCAATATAAATACGGATAATACGATCACGCCAAACTCTTTAAACGTAGATGACAACTTCTTGAATGATATTCAACTAGAACAATTCGACACAATACACGCCAACCAAAACGAAACAGAAATAAATCAAGAGCTAGAAGATTTATTTCAACAAGCATACGAATATTTTATTGACACAGATCCCACCAAAAGGCCATACATCCCTAAACAAAGAACATCAAGAAAATTTTCCATTATCGTAAATTACATAAACAACATTATACTTCCCAAATACGCTAACACAGATACTGACTTCAACAATTTACAAACTATAATTTACTCTGCTGCTTGGACAGCAGCTAAATATAATGGAGCTAAAATATCATTCACTATACAGACTGAACGACAAACAACTACCAGAAAACCAAAATGGCAAATAAGATTAGAAAAGAAAATAAGATTTTTAAGGGCAAATATAGGAAGATTATCACAGTTCATAAGAGGTAATAGAAGTGAAAGATTAGTAGCAGCTGTAGAATTCATAAAAGCAAAGTACCAATTACACGCACAATACGAAAATCCCAATACACAATTGACACATTTTCTGGATACAATGAAGCAAAAGTTAAACGCGGCATCTAGCAGGCTTAGGAGATATATTACATGTACAAATCGTAAATTAGAGAATAGCAGGTTTACAAATAATGAAAAATTCTTCTATAGAAATTTAACATCCAAAGGCACCTTAACCCAAAACGTACAAACACCTTCTGCTGAGTCGCTCCGAGAATTCTGGGCAGATATTTGGGAAAACCCAGTGTATCATAACAATACAGCAACTTGGATACACGAGGTTAACTTAGATCATGAGGCAATGGAATTCGAATTTATACCCATAGATAAATTTATAAATGTTATCAAACACACTCACAATTGGAAATCACCCGGTACAGACCACATACACAACTATTGGTATAAAAAATTCACAAATTTACATCCTTATCTATATAATCACTTAAATACTTTCATCCAATCACCACATTTGCTACCAACATACATCACCCAGGGTGTAACATATATGATACCTAAAGATATGAATGACACCACAAACCCGGCTAAATATCGACCAATTACCTGCCTTCAAACTTTTTATAAAATCATTACAGCGTGCATCAGTGAATTAGTCTATAATCATTTAAAAAAATACGAAATACTAGCAGAGCAACAAAAAGGTTGTCGCAAATATAGCCAAGGCTGCAAAGAGCAGCTTACTATTGACGCTGTCGTTATGAACCACGCAGTAAAGAGTAAAACAGATATTCACACAATGTTTATAGATTACCAAAAGGCTTTTGATTCTGTCCCTCACAGCTGGTTGCTTCACGTATTAAACATATATAAAATTCACCCAACAATAAAATTATTTTTACAATCCACCATGCAAAACTGGCAAACTGTTCTCAATATAAACCAAGCCGCGACAAAAATAGTCACTCAACCAATTTCTATAAAAAGAGGTATCTTCCAGGGGGACGCTCTGAGCCCTTTGTGGTTCTGCATGGCATTGAACCCACTCTCACACCTATTAAACAGAACAAAGGCAGGTTACACCCTAAAAAACAATGGTACACAATATATACTATCACATCTAATGTATATGGATGATATAAAGTTGTACGCAGCAGATCAAAGGTTATTATCACATTTAGCAGATGTAACACAACAATTCTCAACAGATATCTGTATGCAATTTGGAGTAGACAAATGTAAAGTTATGTCGGTAGTCAAAGGAAGAATTGAGAACAATAGATACATACTTGAAACGGGCCAAACGATAGAACCCATGGAAGAACATGACACATATAAATATTTAGGTTTTAGGCAATCCAGACAAATACAACACAAATACACAAGACAAGAACTCATAAAAAAATTTACACATAGACTCAACCTTATTCTCAAAACAAATTTAAATGCTAGGAACACAATGAAGGCTATCAACAGATTTGCAATACCCATTCTCACATACTCATTCGGAATAATACAATGGTCTAAAACTAACACCCGAAAGTTACAACAAATCATTAACACAACACTCACCAAACATCGAAAACATCATCCCAAATCATGCATACAACGACTCACATTAGCACGCAAAGAAGGAGGAAGAGGATTAATAGATATACAAAACCTACACAATAAACAAATCTCAAGCCTTAGAACTTATTTCCACAGTAAATCAGAACACTCGTTACTTCATAGACAGATTGCAGAAACAGACAAAAACTTCACACCGTTAAACTTGCAAAGCCGAGACACACAAACAAATGAAATAATTATTAACAATGAAGACAAGATTGCATTATGGTCAGAAAAAGCGCTTCACGGGAGACATCGATCCTTCTTGAGCCAACCACACGTCGACAAAATTAAGTCGAACGAGTGGCTCACACGTGGTGAATTGTTTCCCGAAACCGAAGGCTTTATGCTGGCCATACAAGATCAAATCATAGCAACCCGCAACAACAGGAAATTTATTATGAAAGATCCTAATCAGCAGAATGACTTATGCCGACACTGTAACCTGGCTTCAGAAACCATTCAGCACATAACAGGAGCTTGTAAGTCTCTTGCACAGACTGACTACAAGCACAGACATGATCAAGTCTCTGCCATAATACATCAACATCTAGCTTGCAAATATAACCTAGTCGACCAAATGACCGCATACTATAAGTATAAGCCAGAAACAGTACTAGAAAATAAAAATTGTAAAATATATTGGGATCGAACCATTGTAACAGATAAAACAATACATTTTAATAGGCCGGATATTACAGTACATGACAAAGTGAATAAAATAGTATACTTGATTGATATTGCTATCCCAAACTCCCACAACATACAATCTACCATATCCGAAAAACTAAGTAAATACCAAGATCTTGCCATAGAAATTAAAACGCAGTGGAGGGTGCAAACAGTTCACATTGTCCCCATAGTCCTTTCTACCACTGGTATTATACCGAAGTCCCTCACACAAAGTCTTAATACTCTGCAAATGCCTGCATACACTCTCCACACGCTACAAAAAGCTACCATCCTCAACACTTGCCGCATCACCCGAAAATTCTTGACATCGTCTACTTTAACATCTACCTATTCAATTTAATCTTCCCCTTTTACACTTGGCTCCGGCCCGTGTATAAGGTTTCTTAAACTCTCGTGTGAGAAGAAAACTATAATGCATTTAAAATAATAATAATAATAATAATTCTTTATTGACAAAAAAAAAATTACACATACAAGCAGAATTCCCTGACCCTGAACTAGTTTACACTGTATTACAAGGGCCAGTGTCTTCACCCATGAGTTCAACAATAATATGCCAAAAAGAACACGATAGTTATTATAAAAAAAAATAAGAACACAGTTTAAAAATAAAAAAATAAAAAATTACAAAGATTTATGCTTTTGCGTTTGTATATTTGTTTGATTGTGTTGTGAGTTTGTGAGTGTGCGTGTGTGTGTGAGTGAGAGTGTGAGTGAGTGTGTGTGTGTGTGGGAGTGTGGATGAGTGAGAGAGAGAAAGACTGATGGGAGGGTGAATGCAAGCGTAAGTATTGAGTATATGGGAAATAAGGGAGGAAGGCGCATGAAGGTATTTTTTTATTTTATTTATGAAGCAGCGTTTCTATTTCATCATAGGTCATTTTTTTAAGCCATTTCATTATTGAGAATTTGAATTTGTAGTTTGAGGTCTTCCTATCTATTACTCTTGATTTGATTGAGATTTGAAATACCCATTTAATATCTAATATAGTGGGAAAACAAGGGTTTTTTCTTGTCTACACTCTTAGGTATACAATTTAATAGGTACTTAAATGTGGTTGGATGGTATTCAAAGTCAAAGTTATAAACATATAAAAATTTTAAGTACTTAAGTGAAATAAATAAATAGTTTTTCCCAAGGTGCTTGTTCCAAAACATTGTCCAGTAGAAAAGAACGAACCAGAAAGTCCTCATTACTTTTTTAAAAGATCTGGCTAAAAGCCCCACATTTAAATGTAAATACTTTTAAATACTAGAAATAAATAGAAAACTGACATATTCAAGTCAATATGACGTTAAACTTAGAGCCTGTTTCAGAATGTCTGTATAGCTAGTATGTACCTACTTCAGATAAATTTTTATTATGTTACAGAATTGAATTTACATAAACCTGATGTGTTGAGTGAGGTACCACAAAGGTTTATGGATTTTTGCGCTTATAGTTATTAAGATGGTGGAACAGTGGTTTAGTGCAGTATCTTATTTCTTTAAATAAAATTAAACACTTACATTGTTAATTTATAAGAAGGCATGTTAACCTGCAGGCTGGTTCTATAAAAATGTTAAATAAAAGAATGAAGCTTCAAGCACTTTGTTTTCATTGGAAAATTTGTTTGATTTTTAAATTATGTGTTATTAGCTGATAACACTAGATAAGTACCTACCTACTTATTAAGATATCGATTGTTACAAAATATTAAGTAACTATACAATATATGTTGTCTATGTCAAAGGGTACTTAATGTCTAAGTAAACTTGCGATAAGAGGAACGTTGTCATTTGTCATGTTGTTAGTCACAAGAGTGAAAATTTAGAACAAGAAGATTTTGATAGATTCGTTATACCTACTTATATAGCCATAGTTCAAATCAAACTGTTTGCAGCTTACTTAAATTATAGTTGTTTTAGATTAATAAAAATATGTTAGTTAAGGCTTAAAGATACTGATAGACGCCACTTGGAACAACAGACATTACTTTTGTATGCCAGACACTATTTTTTTAATTTGTATTTGTAGATAATATTAAAAAAATGACTTATGAATTTGTATGTCACATTCGCTGCGTTAGCATTTGTTTGTTAGTTGTGTGTTTTTTCTTTTATGTAATAGGTCGGCAAAGGAGCAGACGGATTACCTGACGGTAAGCAATCAGCGCCGCCCATGGACACAAAGGAGCAGTTACGAGTGCGTTGCCGACCTTTAAGGAATTAGGGATTTGGAGATTTAGAGATTGGTAAGGGATGAGGGGATATAAAGGGATAGGGCCTCGGTAACTCACTCACACGGCGAAACACAACGCTGTGGTTGTTTCACGCCGGTTTTCTGTGAGGCCGTGGTATCACTCTGGTCGAGCCAACCCATTCGTGCCGAAGCATGGGTCTCCCACACTTAAAGTGTGTAAGAGGGATTTGCATGCATACATGTCAACAAAATGAACAGTACCTAGCTAACATTAATATTTATGTCTGTTCTTGAAATCAACACTGTTTGAGTACCGAGTCACAATAACAGCAGAAAATGTCGGCCACATTTTAAAAAGTCTTTACCATTGAAACGGTAGATGTTAATTAACACGAAAGTTTTCTTACATAATTAATGTAGGTACATAAAGCGACCGAAGACATTGGAAATAAAGAAAGTACCTACAGTCAGATAATTTTCAAAAAAGAAGGGACTATAATGTTTTTTTTCTAAACCTGACAATTTCTTTACACCAAACAATGAACGCGAGTACGCACCACGACCATACACGTATTTATAGGTAGGTACAGATAAAAAAGTTCAAAGTAAAATATCATACAGAAGTGAATAAATAAGAAATTTCAACACTTACATGTTGCCGGTCCGTGTTCACTGTTGCTACTAAATAAAAATTGTGATTAAAGCATATAATACTGTTTTTGATAACGATTGATAAGGTTCAATGTACCTATGTTAGATTAGCTTACTGATTGGTACACACTTGCGACTAAACGGTGCGATTAGTCTTAAGAATAGGGGTCACGCACGACTGAAATGTATTTTTTTTTTACTTAGGTAGAATTATCAAAAAGGTTTCAGTTTACCTGACATTTCTAAAAATAAAAATAAAAGTTTGGAATATAGGTACAATTTGGTATAATTTTTGAGCACATTTTTTTTACAAAACATGATGACGTTTTTAACAAAGCATAAAATTAAATTTTATTATTATTTCCACAAAAGAAGACATACATGCCTAATATTCTAAATACCTCATTAACGGCAGCAACAATAACAACTTTGCTAGCTATTTGGGGATTAGGGGTTCGGAAATTTATCGATTGGGAAGAGATGACGTAACGCTGTGGTTGTCACACGGTGGCTTTTTGAGAGGCCGTGGTATCACTCCGAACGAGCCGACCTAATCGTCGCTACATATATTATGTAAAATTACCCTTTTAGTCGCAAATATGTAGCAATCTATAAGTAAACATCAAACAGACTTCAAAAGCCAAATTGTACTTCTCATAATGAGTTTGAGAACATTATAATCATTGATAGACCTAATTATGAGACAGTTTAAAGTACAAAGATTACTCATTATTGATAGGCTAAGGAATAAAGTCCACACATAAAACAATGCAGAAATTAATGGCACCTAGAGTAAATTTTATAATTTATAAGTAAACGATACAACGAAACAGGATTAATGACGACGAAAGAAAAGAAATATAGGTAGATATCGGATAATGCGACTGAGATCATCATCATCATCACCATCAGCCTATAAGTACCCACTGCTGAGCAAAAGGCTCTTCTTACACGGAGAAGGTTTGAGTGTTAATCTCCACGCTTGCTCAAGGCGCATTGGCGATTTCATACTTTACGAAATCATAAGTTCAGGTTTTTACACGTTGTTTTCTCCTTCAACATATGTTCAGTGGTGTCTAAATGATCATATCACATACACACATACACCATTCACCAATCACCAACATTGTATAATATTATTTTTTTAATTTCGTTCGAAATCTCTATAAATAATGAATAAGTATCTATTTTCATGCATATTTATGACTTTAATATCAGTTTTTACTTTTATTGAACACTAAAATTAAACTACAAGATAACTAAATGAGTATTGATTGTAGTTCTACTTAATACTCTTTTAGTCATCAATATCCCTTCTTGAAAACCGAAATAAACTATAAATACAAAGCCAGAGCAAGCGAGCCACGGCCGGGGGCAGAAGAAGGTACTCATTAAGAGTCTGACAGTCGGTCCGTGCCCCACACAGCAAAAGTCATTTGTTCTTTAAAATATAACATTTTAATTTTTCACAAATTTTGTTAAACCTAAGGTATGTTCTGTAGGTATACCAACACGAAAATATAGCATCTGTCTGTTGAAAAAAATAAAATGTATGTAAGTACGAGTTATCTTACCAGTACCGGGAAAATCTAACGAACAACATCGTTCAATAATTGCATAACACTAAATATCATAAAAAATCACAAACTTCACAATAATATTCACAAAATTAATATTTTCAAAAAAATAAACTAGTCACATTTTATAAATCGATAATTTTTCTTAACAGTTTCGCGCCTCATTTGTAAATGGAACATTTAATTTTATAATTTCTTTTTTTGGTCACTTTCTGTGCAGACTTGATGTATCATCTTAACCAGCCAGTAATTCCGATGCCTATTGTATTTTAAGAAGGTAGTGTAGGTAATTAAATATTTAAAAATACATTTTTTTTTTAATAGTGGGTACTACGGACGTCTATGCGTTATGTTAAGGCACTCCGCCCCTAAGGCTACCCACTGACCGGCAATTTTGTTGAAGTATTTAATGAATTACGAACATATGGGTAAACAAAGATAGTTGACGATTCTTGCCTGATCGTGGGTAAGTGGAAAAAAAACGTTTGTTTGAAAGATCTAGCACAGAAAATATTTTGAAAACGACACAAACAATTATTTACATTAATTATTTTAAAATTAAAAATTAAAAAAAGTATTCCGAATTCAAAAATCCTATTCAAAAAATATATGTTTTTTGTTTAGTACGCTTTGAAGTCTGTTGACATTAATATCCTAATTGATTGCACAAGTTAGATTATATTTTTATTACTGTACTAAAACTAAAAAAAACACAGTTTGTGAGGCACAGAGTAGTGAACTGCGTTTAAGCACATTGTCTTGTGTTTAATTACACGGAGGTCGGAGATAACGCGGAGATAATCGTGTTTGTTATGTGAGAGGACACACTGATGAACAGACATAAAAAATAGAAAGTACTGAAATATGATTTACTTTATTTATTTATTACTAATTTATTTAACAAACTGTGTAACACAAGTTATGCAGTTTTAAAAATAGAAAAAGAAGCATCGCAATAGCATGTGAGCTGTGTCGTAGTCGTTTTAAGATAAAAAAACATGCAGCTTTAATTTTGTATTTAATATTTTTTTGGTAAGTGCTAGCATAAAGATTTAAATAAAATGTAATAGCTATGGCATCGCATCGTCAATCAAACAATGAATTTATTTTTAAAACAACACGTATGCCTGTTAACAATTAAAAATCTTGATGATGCCGACATTTCCCATTTGACTACCCTGTAAATAAATGCTTAGCAAAAAGTACTGGTCGGTGTGTTTTAAAGTCCAAACCAATTTTAACATATTATGGCAGAACAGTGAAAATTTATTCTATGGTAGTATTTACGTAGATTGAACAAAATAAGTATCATTCATTTTAAAATATTATGCATTTGTATTCGTTGCTTTATATAAAGCCCTAGTTACGTCATATAATAATTATCTAGGTAATATAATTACTTCAAACTAGACCCCTGACACGAAATTAAGCAAGCCGAAGGCAATAATGACGTGTCGTTGCGGATAAAAATGTTCTACATGAAAATATTTATTTATAGTTAAACAACGTAGTTAATTACACAAAATTACTTATAAAAATGTGAATTTGAAGGTCGATTACAGAATTATTCACAATTAAATGAATATTTCTAGTATGAACCATTATAAATGTTTTAATCCTTTTTATTATTTTACAGCAGAAATAAAGTAATTTCTGTCAAAGAAATTAAAAATTTTAGGTACCTACCTTTTTTACTTGAGTTTTGAGGTTTGAACTTACTGAGATACCAATATATGTATATGCTTATTGTATTCTCAATGCATTTAAAGCGATGATAATGAAGAACCAGTATAAAACAGAAACAGAAGAATTATAATAAAGAAACAGAACCTTACGCCTAACGAGATTTTCATAGCAATACGTTAGACTGTGTAAGCACAACGAAATGTAAATATGAATTTTGCTGTAATAAAATTAATTGGCACTTTTTATCAATAGAGGAAAAACGTCTGTCTCAGAACCGATAACCGTTTGGGTAGACGTAGTCTAGAGTAGGCTCCAGCTATGTGGAATAACGATACCCATAAGTTGGCTGGCAGTGATTGGGTGAGAACAGCTAAACATTAAGCTGAGTGGCATGCAATTCGAGAGTTTATGTCCATCAGTGGAAGGGGAAGGCTTGATGATGATGAATAACAGAAGAATAATGTCAAGAGAATCTTGCAGCGCAATGTGGAAATAGCCTGTGCCTATATAAGTAGGTAGGTACGCAAATCTAATGAAGGCACATACAAAATATAATAGTAATACACATGCACTTTAGGTAGGATTTTGCATAATATCTCATAATATGTACCTAGTTGATATGGTAGTGGACTAGTTTATCACCACTTTTTTATACACTGGGATTCTTCATTTACTTCCCTTGGGGTGGTTCCTATTCTAACTAGGTGTGTTCGATTTACCCTTGTGGATTCATCGCTTCCAGCCGACCTCCACCTACTTCTATCTTTACGAAGGGTCCCGCTAAGGACGTACGTACTTATCCTCTTGCGCATGGAACACTACTTTTGTCCATGCTGCGGACAATCGACGCCCTAACTAGTAGCCCGCTGACAGACTGGCCACCATTACGGAAATCGATTTTAATGATATTTGTCGTGAAACAATGAGGTTAGATTACTATTTTCATGAAATGAAATTGTATGGATATCATTTGTTTTGACTAATTAATTCTCGATCAATAGCTGCAATTGAACCGATGCGTCAGTATGTTAAATCTACACCGGCTTGTCACACTCACTTTCAAAAGTGTTCAATAGACCAAATTACTTCTTGCAATGATTTCAATAAAAGAATTGAAAAAATACGAACACTTTCCTGGCCTTAAAGGAATTTTAATGTTGCGACATTTGTTTGGATATTACTTCAAGTCTAGCAAATCATTATTATTTTGCCTCTTATTAAAGAGCTACTGCGTCATCTGTTGTGGCATTTTAACTTACGGATTATACTTTTGGAATAATTACAACTATTCTTTAAGCTACGATATGCTGGTGATTTTGGAGAAGGCTGTCGGCACCGTGATTTCGTTGATCACTGAAGAAGAATTTGTCATTAAGTTTGCTTCCGACATAGTGACAATTTTTTCGTCAACATTGCAAATAAAACTGTACTGTCGTATGACAAATTTTATGGTCTGTATGTCTGTAGCCATAAGGATCATTAACAAATTTGCGTTTTGGAGTGCGATAACAATTCCTGAAGTCTTGTACATGTATGAACTTACTTCTTGCTACTTCAGTCGTTTGACAGCTGTTTATATAGCGGAAAATTATCAAAAAGTGGTGGAAGGCCTTTGGAAAATGTTGAGAGATAAAATGCAATCAACATCCAGAGCTGACGACAAAAGGAAATATGTCAGAGATTTCATCTTCGATCTAAGGAAGTTGACAGATATTTTGGACGCAACAGTCACATATTTAAGGGTTCAAGTAATAAAAAATAACTCATAAATAATGCATAAGAGATACATCAAGCCTGTTATTCCTTGAAGTCGTAAATATTAAGTTGTAGTGTATTTCTATGTCAGTGAGGTTACTGGAGGCCAAATCCGTCCTGTACCACCAATCCCCTAATCCTCAAAACCCTGATACCCAAAAGGTTTGCAACGCACTCGTAATTCCTCTGGTGGTCCGCGTAGGCTGCGCCAAGTACTTACCACCAGGGAATCCATTAGCTCGCGTGTTCCCCTATCACATAAAAATACTTTTCAGAATATTACCGATATGATAAATGCTATTCAAGAAATATCAGGCGTCATTTATTTAACTTTTGCATCATTTAAAAACATTACTTATTTTATTTTAATTTTTGTAATTGTAAATATTTTCAGGTGATTGTGGGCTGCGTATGTGAATTTTTCAAGGTTACATTTGCTATGTTTTACCTAAACTATGCTAATGTGGTAAGTGCCTATGTTTGTTAGTAAGTTACTGTGTTTAAAGATTACAATAGTGAAAAAATTCGTACCCGGGAACCGTAGATTCAATTTGAAAGAATAAAAAAGTTGTATTAACGACAACATTGGCTCAATTCTGCATAACATGGCCATGGTTCAGAAATTACGCGCAATGTGTCGCTTCGTCAATGTAAACAACCGTTCTAAATTCGGTGTGGAGCGGCAACCGCCTGTATGGTTTTCTACCGATAAATCAAGTCAAACATATAAGAATGTTTTAAAAGAAATAAATATGACAAATTGTCAATTAAAGTAACTTCCTTTACAATTATATTTTTATAAACGCAATACTATCGTCCATTGCATCCGGGGCAGATATTTTTATAGTATCTAATACCTATATGTATTATTTGGCTTGTAACAACAGTTTATCTTTTCAGACTACAAGATATTCAGTTATTTGGACAGTTGAAGTGATTTTCTCGATAATAACATTTTTGGTGCCGTTAATAATGATAGAACTAGGCATAAACTACCTAGTCGAGATCAAGAACGTATTAGCTGAAGAGTATCTGGCAAGCAAGGGTAGATATCGTATTTAGATTAGTTTTTTTTTTAAATAAGGGTTATAGGGTTTATAATATCTTAATATTTATAACTAATAATTCATAATGTTTTGTTATAAAATTAAAAATAAAAAGGATTAAGATACATAAAAATCAAGAAAACCGTTTTCATATAAAATTTAGTTTAAAATTGTTAAAATTAAATTTAAACAATAGGCGTGTTGCAGAAATATTTTCACAAATAAATCTATAAAAGTAAAAGTAATTTTAAACTTAGAAGTACCTACTTATTATTTTTGTTGCTAATTTACGAAATCTTCTTCAAATATCTTACTTAAGCAAAAATTATGACGTCACACTTAATTTAGTAATATCAAAGAAAAGTAATTCAACAAGAAATCGGGCAAAATACATCATTTCATACATTACAAAATGTTTTTTTTAACTGGCTAGTGATGATCAACCCTCTTAGGTAATATCCGAACTTACGTACTTATTATTACTACTTATTTTGTTTCCCAAAATACTATTCTAAATATTTCTTTATTTTAGATAATGAACTCCGCAGCACCATAACCGATGCCCTGGAATATGTTGAAGCATGCTCTTCTAAGCACATGGTGTGGAACGAGTTTCCCATGAATTTAGATCTAGTTTTAGGCTATTTTAATTTGTGTACTGATTATGTCATTGCTATATTACAATTCATATATTAGTAACTAGATTTTGCCCGCGACTCCGTTCGCGTGTAATAGTGACTTCCTGCAGATTTTTAGTATAAAACTATCTTATCTATCTTACGTCTTTTCTCGATTTCCATACAATGTATAGGTAGACATACATTGTTTATATAGACATACACTAAATTTCACAGAAATCGGTTTAGTAGTTTAGGCGTGAAAAAAAGTCAGACAGGCAGAGTGACTTTCGCATTTATAATACTTATTAATAATAGTTTGGATTTGAATATGGACGAGGTAATTATCGATAATGGGATGTAATCGAATTCGATATTCAAAAAGGAGGATGAAAGAAAATGTAAATAAGATTTGTAGCAACATTTTTTTTTGTCAGGGGAAAATCATCAAATGACTTCTCCCGCCCAGGGTTAGGCGAGAGAGAGTGTCAGACTCTTAGTGACTAAAAACCCCCCCCGTTCCTGCTCCTGCTTTGGGCCGAGGCCGCGGTGACTCATTGCGCTTAACCCGCAACCCTGGTACATTTAATGTTAAGAAAGACGGTCAAGATCTATATG